CATCGTAATAATAATAATAATAATAATAATAATAATAATAATAATAATAATAATAACAATCACATAAATATCACGCTTTTTCACGAATTTTTTCGATCCTTTTTTTAAAAATATATAATAATATTTCCCTCCCCGCTCCACCCCCCCAAAAAAAAAAAACTAACATTTTCTTGAAGATTTATCAATTTTGTTTTTTCCCCCAAACAAAAACAAAAATAATAAAAACCCGTAAACTTATTTATTAATAAATATACATAATTGTACACATTCTCATTCATTCATTGATTGATTGATTGTTCTTTGCTGCTTGAGTGAAAAATTTTCGATAAAATTACTACCTCGTACCCGTACTTATACGACCTTATCAAAAATTTTATTTTTCCAGCAAAAAAAACAAAACAAAACAAAACAATAAATGACATAATAATAATAATAATAATAATAATATTCTTTTATATAATTTCACACTCGACTTCCCCAAAACATATTATTGTTGCACAATAATAGAAATTTCATTCAAAACATTTCCTTGTGGAAATATATATTTATTTACTTGTAAATGCGACAAAGATAGATAGATAATACTACATTCATAATTTCAATGTGGTTTTTTTTTTTTTTGCGATTGAAAAAATTATTATTATTATTATTATTATTATTATTATTATTATGTAATTTTCTTAATCTATAGAAAAAACACAAATTTCAAGTTGTTGAGATATAATACTAACAAAAAAAAAAAAAAAAAACAAGCAAAAAGCAAATGTAAAAACCGATTGGAAAATTTAAACCGAAAAAACCAAAAGAAAAAAATATTATTATTATTATTATTATTATTATTATTATTATTACTGAACAAACTAATAAATTACCCGATAATAACAGTCATTAATTAACAGATAATAATACGAAAACCACCATTGTAAATAATAATTTTTTTAATTTCTGTTTTTTCTTCTTTTTTTTTTTTTTTTTTTCAATGGCACAGAAGAATATTTTGAAATCATCATCATCATCATCATCATCATAACTTTAAATAGATATTATAAATAATAATAATAAAAAAAGAAAGAAGATGGTAATGGAAAATTCTTATTTTCATTTGTAAAGGTACAGAAATAGGTGAGTAATAATAATAATAATAATAATAATAATAATAATACCTAATGCACACGTTTAAATTTTTCGAAATTTTTTTTTTCTTTTTAAGAATTGTTCAGTATTTTGACAAAATTTCAATTCTTTACTTTCAAACCATTGTCAAATTTATTTTTTCACCCCTCGTATGAACACATTCAATGTAACAAAAACCTTTTCAAAATAAAAAAAAAATACAAAAATATAATAATAATAATAAAATTCGTTCCTGCAGAGGCCACACACCAACGATTCAGGAGCGTTTTAAGGTGTGTGTATGTGTGTGGATTATTTCATTATTTATTTAGTTATATTTATTTCATTTAATAAAATAATAATAATAATAATAATAATAATCAAGAATTTTTTATAAATGAATGAAACGATATATATATATGAAATATATTTTTTTTTTTTAAAAAAACATTTTACTACTGCATGAAAGTTGCAATGTTAATTTCTTTTTTATTTTTTCAATTTTTTTATTTTTTCAATTGGGTTAAAGCCAAAAAATTTTCATTCCAAATAAAAGAATCTAAAATTAAAAAGGTTAAAAAACAAGTTTTTAAAAAAAAAACTAAATAAAAGAAATAATATTAACAACGAAATGTATACAGTGAATAATAATAATAATAATAAAACTGAGATTTTTAATGAGCGACCAAATTTCCGGAATAAATAACCGTAAAGAAGTTGCCCGTGGCTAAATTATGCAAGAAATATTTTGAACCGTTTTTATTAATGCTGTGTAACGAAAATAATTTTAAAAAAAAATTATTAAATATCTTTTTCTCTCTCTCTCTCTTTCTTATTTATATAATATTCATTAGTATTTATAAAAATACTTATTAAGTTATACTAGTATATTTTGTTTTTAAATTAAGCATCGAATAAAAATCAATAATATTAAATCGATAGATGAATGTAATTTGTTAAATCGAAAAAATGTAACAAAATATATAAAAAATTTATATAAAAATTGAATTAGGTAAATACAAGGTCACTTATGAAATGAACTTGGTTTTTTTTTTTCTACATTAAAATGTGTATACCGACCAACAACAATCCTTGTGCTAATTTTTTTTTAAAAGGTTAAACTTATTCGAAGCAAAAATTATAATATTTAATTATGTTATAATATATATGTTTAATTACCTGCTAGAAGTTTCAGAAAAATTTCCACCATCCAAAAGTCTCACTTTAGCGAATAAAACAGCATTTACAAATGGAACTGCGGTTAATTCCTCGACGAACACTTCAACTTGAAACTTATATTTCTTTTTTTTCATCATGAATGCCATTATATTTTTTTTTGTTCAATGCAAGGTTTCTCACTTATATATAATGTATAAAAAAACTTATTAAATATATCATTTATATTATAACCAAATTTATTTATTTTCAAACACTTCATACTCTTTGTAAAATCATACTTTTAATTTAGTAATAATACTGAGAAAATTTCAAACATTTATTTCACTTTTCAAAAAAAATAAATAAATAAATAATCAATATGTTAAGAAATTATTTATTGTAATAAAGTGGATTTTTTTTTATTATTATCATGTTCGATAACCTCGAATTCTCTTCGTTCAAATATTTTACTCATATTGGAATGATATATGTCGTTCAAAAAAAAAAAAAAAAAAAATACAAGAAAAACTCAAATTTTTTTTATCTAGAAAAGTCTATTTCTCGTACATCAGGTGGTTTAGTGAGTACAAAATTCAGCTGTAATTAAAATGTTAAATCTTATTGAAAATTTTTATTATTATCGGATAAAGATTAATTTATTTTCGTGTGTATAAAAATAAAAATAATTAAAAATTGCGTTTGAGAAATTGATGTAGAGAATTGAAAATAATATACATTTATTGAATAGCACTAAGTAAAAACATTATGATAAAATGTAAAATGACATTTTGAAAATACAAAAATCTGGTCGTACACCCAATAATAAATATTAACGAAAATTACTTTTTTTTAAAACAAAAACAACAATTTTCAGTGTTTTTTCAATTAAATAATTATTGAATACGCGCACACAAATACATAACTATCATTAATATACAAAGTCACGACATACAAGTTAAAACGACTAAACGGGAACTCAAAGTGCCATCTTTTCAGTCTATACTCGGTTTGTATTCAAAATGTTGCATCACAAGTTATTGCAATTTTGTAAAACGTCGACAAATTTACCTTCATCTGTAACCACGTCATGTCATGTAAATTTGGTAACAGCTGATATTTTTATATTATTAGGTCAACATTTTTAATATATAGTATTTTTCAATGAGTTAACTTAAGTCATTATGAACGCAGAAGTTGAAAATTACATTCGTAATAACGTGATATGGAACGAAATTCCGAATAATGTAAAGCAAGTTAGTATTAGATAAATCTAAATATGTTTCATGCGAAACGTAACTTTTTTCGAAACAAAGACGGTGGAAAAATATTTCAAAATAAAAACTTTTTATAATAAAATACTTGATTAGACACCCTTATTAAATGATTTATTTTTAATAAATACATGATGTTTTTTCTTATTTTTTTTTTTTTTTGAATTTTAAAATATATTTCCTAAATTTATTTTTAGAAATGGATTTTAAATCAAAAAGAATATGAAAAACAAATAGTGGAGTTCAGTATAAAAAATCAATTAAGGTTCAAAGGCAATATTGGTATGAAATATAAATATAAGTATATATTGCTTAAATATTTTTATTATTATTTTAATGGTAAAAATTACATTAATTTATTACAGTAAATAATGTAAAGAAAAATGCTAAACAATATTATGAAGAATTATTAGCATACAGTAGACAATCTCTTATGCTGTACCCTTATCATCTATCCGATGTTATTGTACCTGGTCTGAGGGTAACACCTTTTCAATATTATATTGCAATGATGGAAAATATTATGACTCAAGGGAGGAGTTATGATTCATTACCTAATTTCACAGCAGCTGACTGTGAGTTATCAAATTTTTCAAGCTTCCCAAAAATAATATATTTTTACATTTGAATAAATAATTTTAATTAGAATTTATTTTATTAATTATTTTTTAATTTTACTTTTTAATAAAAAATTTTATTTTAAATCATTTTATTGTGTATAAAGATATTTTTTTTTAAAATTACTTTTAGGCATCAGATTGTTGGGCATTGGTAGGAATGAATACATTGAATTAATGAATAAATGTCATTCTGGAAGGAAATTGTTTAGGAAAAAAAACATAAGGGACTTACTACCCACCAAACCAGTTAAAATCAATATTGAAAATTGGTGGGTAGTTCATCTGGGTTCTGTAACTGAAGAAGACATCAAACTAATAACACCAGTCGAAAAAGAACTTATAGATAAAATAATTGATTTTGGAAAACAAAAAGCCGGAGATACCGATTTAATTTTACTACAAAAACTATATAAGTAGGTAATCGATTCTTAACATAAAATATTTTATTTTTAAAATAATTCTTAAATAAAATTGTCATTTTAGTAAAGGTCTTGTTTTCTTAGAAGTTCCAATTGAAGATAATGATTATATTGTTGTTCCTCCACTTGAAGGTTTCGTTATGAACAGGGTTTTAGGTGATTATTTTGAAACTCTTCTTTACAAAATATTTGTATCAATAGATGAAAACACATCAGTATCTGAGGTAATTAGTTTTTAAAAATCAACTCAAATTTTTATTACTTTTTGAAATTTCATTAATTCAAAAAAAAAAATATTAAAACTTTATTTATTATTTTTACCCTCCAGTTGGCCAATGTACTTCAAATAGATTTAAAATCCGTTAAAAATGCCGTATCGTTATACTGTAGATTGGGATTTGCAAAGAAAAAAACAAATGAATTAGATGATGTTGAAAATATTAGTTCATGGAGTATATGTACTTCTATCAAACGTCAGTGAGTTTATTTACTTTATACATTAATAATAAAATGTTTGTCTTTTACCTTATTAACGCTTATTCTAATCGATGTTTCAAACATTGGAGTAAATGCTAAATTTAAAAAAAAATTTTGGTAGGTCTTCAACTGCTTCAGTTACTGATCCATTACTTTTAGAATTAGATGAAGCACTTGCAGAAGCAGGTTTATCAACCAATCAGGAATCAAACGTTTCAGAAGATTATGAAGGAACTTTACTATCGAGTCCTACCAGAAACAAGAGAATAGCATTTTTATTCGATTCCACACTGACGGCATTTTTAATGATGGGAAACTTATCACCGGTTTGAATTTTAAATTATTATGAATTTTGTATTGACTTATTAAATGTATTTCATACTATATGTGTATTTTCCTATTGTTAGGGTTTGAAAAATCATGCAGTTACTATGTTTGAGGTTGGCAAGCTACCAGATGAATCTTTAGACAGTTTGTTAAATGAATTAGAAAAAGTTTCAACAGATGACAGTGAAGGTGAGGCTCAAAGGTATTTTGAACATGCTTTGGTCCTGCGTTCAACAATACTGTTTTTACGACAAAATCAACAAATGACAGAAATTGTAGCTGGTGTAGATCTTATTCGTTGTGAAAGCTTACAATCATTAGATGCGGCAACATGTTCTAGATTACTTAATAAAAACTATGCGTAAGTAAAATCATTAATAAATATAAAGTGAAATGAAATGAAGAATTTAAAGTTAATATACAATAATGAATAAACAGACATAAGTGATTTAATAATAAGTAAATATTGTTGCACTTTCTAGATTGTTAGTCTCAATGGCTCCTTTGAGCAAAGAAATCAGTCCAATTAGGAATATGACACCTCCTCATTTAGGACCGGCGACGCCAGAGGTTAATTCGGAATGGTTTAAATTATTCATTTATTTCGTAACGGGTTACGGTCCGCCCACGATACTTTTGTCAAAAGGATCGCGATTGAGAT